TTGTGGAATCTCCCTCATTGGGGATGTTTAAGAGCAGGCTGGACAAACACCTGTCAGGGATGGTCTAAATAATACTTAACCCAGCCAGGAGCGCAGGGGATGGACACGACCTCTTTAGGTCCCTTCCAGTCCTACAGTTCTAGGAGTGTCTTCAGCTAGGGAGGGCAACAAGCCCCCAGCGGGATAACAGCAGCCACTGGCCTGGGCCAAGCTGCCACTACAGATCTTCAGTGAGACCCACCAGGAACCCTTGGATGTGGGCCCTTTACAACGGACTCCGCCTGGGAGGTTTTTGGAACCAGGTTCTCCCCGTTTGGGGGTTCGCACCCCCATTAGAAACTCGGGCTTTGAAGACCCATTTTCCCCAGGGCATCGGACAATCAGAGTGCTGGCTGGTGTGGCGGCCCTGCCAGCCTGGGTGGGGGGGATTTACAGCCAGATCTTAGCGTGTCTTCGGTCACGTCTGCTCCCCGGACACCCCGGAGCGCCCCAGCAGCTGGAGGAGGGACAGCTCCGCCCCGCAGCGCCCCAGTAGCTCGCCCCGCACATCTCCGCTCAGCGGCGGCGGGAGCAAGACACACCCCCCGCGGCACAGAGCAGCTTTTGAAGCCTGTCTCCCCCCAGCTGGGGGGGGGGTCCCCGCCGCACTCCGGAGCCCTGGCCAGGGAGCCGGGCCCCGCTGCTGGGCGCTGCCCGGGAACCTGCAATCCAGAGTAGGAGGAACCAACGCGAGCAGCCACTGGCCCCGCACCCCCGCCGCTCTCGAGTTGTGGGTACGGATCACCGGGGGGGGGGGAGAGGAACTGGGGGGCAGGGGCCTGCCAGGGGGCAAGGGGCTGCCATGGGTCCCCCCGCAACTCCCACCCTGCGCCCTGCAGTGTCTCAGTCGCTCCCGCCCCGCTCAGCGGTTCCGGCGCAGCCGCCCCCGGGCAGCACGGGGAGACCAGCACCCCGGGGACCGGGGTAAGCGCTCGGGGCTAGCCGGCCCCACACGGGCCAGACCCGCAGCGCGAGCGGCCCCACCCAGGGAACACGTTAACCCGGCGCCCCGCACGGAGCCCGCCCGCAGCCCCCAGGCTCGGCAGCCGCTCACCCGCCGGCCAGACGCGGGGTCCCCCCGGCAGCGCGCCCCGAACGCGGCGTGTCCAGCGGGGCCGCAGCGCGATACTCAACATTCCAGCCCCGAACGCGGCGACTTTATAGCCCCCGCCCCGCTCCCTCGGGGGCGGAGCCAGCTAGAGGGCCCCGCCCCTTCCACAGGTCGCGCGCGCTTTAGAAAGGGGGGGTCTGCCTGCGGCGGTGGGGGCAGGGTGAGCAGACAGCAAGTGTGAAAAATCGGGGGGAGGGGGTAATAGGCGCCTATATAAGACAAAGCCCCAAACATCAGGACTGTCCTTATGAAAGCGGGACATTAGGTCCCCCTAAGGGGGGTACCCAGGTGAGAAGGGGGCTGGCCCTGGCGCAAGGCACCGAGCTCTGTACCAACACCCTGCGTCAGCCCCACCTGACCAGCACAGGTATCTCAGAGAAAGGAGCCCGCCAAGGGCGTGTGGGCACCGGGCCCCGTCTCCCCAGGGCGCAGGCTGGACCCTGGACACTGCTCGCTTCCATTCGCCCCTTGCCAAGTTTCCTCCCCTCCCACTTTTCTCTGTCCCATGTTCTCCCGCAGCCGCCTGCTGGTCCCAGGGGCCGATCCCCAGCTGGGGCCCCTAGGCACTCCTCACTGGCAGGACCCCAGCCTGGCACCTGTGAGGAACTGGGAACAATATCCCTGGAAAGAGCTTCTAACCCCCCGGGCTGGCTGCATGCACCAGCTAACCCCCCTCTGCAAACCTGCCACCCCCAGGGAGCTGCTGCTGGTGGGGGGGTGAGGCCCTGCTAATAGCTCCAGTTTCCTTCTGTCCCTTCCTTCCCATCTCTCCCTGACACTGTGGGGTTTGCCTGGGTCTGCCTTGCGGGGCTGGTGTGAATGAATCGCTCCTTGCGCTGGGAAGGGATTGTATGGGGGGAGTAATAGCGGCCCTGGGGTTAACACTGCGCCTAGAACTACGTTCGCAACCTCTTTTCTCTAGCGAAGGAATCGAGTCCTAGTGTCAAGCAAGACGCAGGTAGAGTCGGCTACAAACCCCTCGGTGAGCACCCGTCTTTGTCT